TTCTTAAAGATTAATCGAGTAAAACTCGGTTTGGTTGTGGTTGTTTGAAGTCCCACTAACGGACGTTGTTTTGCTTGTGTTTCATGTGCTTACGCCTGTTGGTGGTTGTTTGACATTGAGGAGTTCACGACGCTGAGAAAATCAGGGTTGATGGTGTGGGAGAAGCGTTATTGATCGAGGGACTCGGTCGTGGGACTCTTGGAAGTCTGGGGTTGCGACGCTCAGCTTGGAAATATCGTGAGAAGGAACTAGGGTTTCCAAACCCTTGTTCACCGGTTTGATTTGGACCCGACTCGAGCAGTTCAAGGGATCACCTCTGGGTCTTCTGGGCCACTGGTTTCTACTGGGATTTGGGGCTCTTGGGTCACGTGGGTAGTGGATCTATAAAAGAAATTCAGAACGTAAATAAACCATATATATATATATATATTATATTTATAACATTATATAATATTATATATGTATATGTATTATAATTTGTGATTTAAGCGGATGAATTTTAGTGTCTTCAGTTGCCCCTCTTTGCTCATTATCGTGTAACGAAAATAGAGCAAAGATTAAAATACACAAATTTCATCCCTATCGAACATCCTCTGTCGTATAGTTAAAATCCGATATGAAGACCGGTTTGTCAATTCGGGTTGAACCATGAAATAACTCCCTCGTCGTGAGGTTGAGTCGAAACCGGAAAATTCTAAGCATGAAATCCTTTGTCGTGAAGTTGAAATCGAACTCAGAGTATTAGAAAGTAGTTCCTGGACTCAACCATGTGGTTGATGCGGCCTCGAGCTGAATAGAATCGAACTCGTCAGTTTTGATAAATAGCCCTTCTTGGCTTGAGCTATGTTGTAAATTTGATTTGCCTCTGATTTGAATGACATGATTCAGATGATGCTTCAAGAGAAGTTATCTCAAAAGAGACAGAATTCGTTTCAAGGGAAACGATCTCAAAGATATTTGTTGTTTCATGAGAAACGGTCTCAAAGTAAACAAAATTTTGTTTTAAGGGAAATAAATTCAAAGATTTTGTGTTTCAAAAGAAACCGTCTCAAGGGAGACAAAATTTTTCAAGAGAAATTGTCTCGAGAGAGACGAAATTTGTTTAAAGGAAACATATTAAAAGATTTTGTTTCAAGGGAAACTGTCTCAAGAGAGACAAAATTTGTTTCAAAGGAAATATATTCAAAGATTTTTGTTTCAAGGGAAACTGTCTCAAGAGAGACAAAAAAATTTAAGAGAATATGTCTCAAAAGAGATATAATTTGTTTTAAAAGAAACTGTCTCAAGGGAGACAAAATTTGCTTCAAGGAAAACAAATTAAAAAATTTTGTTTCAAGGGAAACTGTCTCAAGAGAGACAAAAATTGTTTAAAGGGAAACCTTCTCAAGAGAGACAAAAATTGTTTCAAGTTGGGTCAATCTGTTTGTGAAGTTAGAATCGTATATGGCCCCTCCGTCGTGAAGTTGAGCCTTGGAATTGGATATCCTTCGTCGTGAAGTTGAAATCCAATGTAAGTTACGTTGTTTCGAGGCCAACATCCTTCACTGTGAAGTTGAAATTGACTTTGAAACTGGGAAGTTTGTTGACAGACACTCCTTCTTTGAGTTGGATATCCTTCGTCGTGAAGTTGAAATCCAATCTAGAGATGGATGACGCTTGTGTGCACGATTCCCTTCGTCGTGAAGTTAAAACCGTAGGTTGCCCCTTCGTCGTGAAGTTGAGCCTGGTAATTGGATATCCTTCGTCGTGAAGTTGAAATCCAAGTAAGTTGTATTGCTCCGAGTCCAATATCCTCCGCCCGTGAAGTTGAAATTGGTTCTGGAACTAGGAAATTGCTTGTTGACAGCCAACCGCCCCTTCGCTGTGAAGTTGAAATTGACTCTGAATGAAACTGAAAAATTGTTTGTTGACAATCAGCCGCCCATTCATTGTGAAGTTGAGCTTGTGCTGTCTTGAGTCCAATATCCTTCGTTGTGAAGTTAAAATTGGCTCTGAAATTGGGAAGCCCCTTCATCGTGAAGTTGAGCCTCAAATGGCACGATATCCTCCATCGTGGAGTTGAAATCGTGGATATGTGAGTACGATATCCTCCGTCGTGGAGTTAAAATCGTGGATGAGCCATTCGTCGTGAAGTTGAGACTTGACTTGAATATCCTTCGCCGTGAAGTTGAAATCCAAGTAGTGTATGTTGCGGGTGGACACAATTCCCTTCGCTGTGAAGTTGAAATCGTGGCTGACCCCCTTTATTATGAAGTTTGGTCTTCAAGCTAGATATCCTTCGTCGTGAAGTTGAAATCTACTCTCGAGCAAATTGTGTCATTTCGAGTCCAATCTCATTCGCTGCGAAGTTGAAATTGGCTCTAGATAAAACCTGCAAAGATATGCATATATGCGATGTTATGGATGCAATGCTCTTAGGTATGCCTAAAATGCATATGCAACATATGTTATTCTGGGGTTTAGATAGAAATCTCAATCCCTGGTTGTCAGTCTTGATGACTCGTGATGCTGGAATCTTGAATATGCTTAAAACATAATGTTTATCTGTGATGGGAATAATTGTGTGAGCAGTCTTCACTTTCTCAGTTCGTCTTCATTTCCACCAGGGTGTACTCTTGCAAACCTCAGCCTAAGACAATTTGTTTTCCTTTCCCTATCAAATTTTACCCCAAAAAATTTGGTTTATCCTGCCCCAGTTTCAATCTTGAGCTTCGGAGAGATATTCGTTGATTTCCAAGACATGCTTCCAGAGAACTCATCTTGTTTGAAAATGTTTTTTTCTTTGAATTTTCACAATTTTGAAAATATCAAAAGGAGTTTTGAAAAATATTACCTTCTTCTAGGTTTCACAATTGAAGCAAATCATAAAACAGGAGTTCATTGGATATCAAAAGAATCAAATGCTATTTTAATCTTTGATAGCTGCAAACCGTTGACAAATATCAAGATCGAAAAGTTGTTTAGAGGTGGGTATTAAGGTTTGTTTCATCGATTCGATCATCGTGAAGATCTTGGCATACACTTCTTTCTTGATTTGACATTTTGATTGGAGGCGAACAAAATGACATAACTAGCATAATCAATGGCTAAACCTTTCAGGACACTTCTGTTTCAATGCTCTGAAATCTTCCATTTGTTCAATTTTTGTAGGCTCTTCTAACAAAGGCAGTGCAGAAATATCGGTCTAAAAATAAAATTCCTGAGTGCTCGTGTGAAATTGACTATAACAGGTGTTCCTTAACTCTCTTAGTCCATTTTTATCGAAACTCCTTATTTAAATTTGCCATTAAATGGCTAGCTGGATCCATAAAGCTGGGGCGTTTTACCAATTGCTCTATAGGGACAACTCAATATATAAATACCTTTATCAGGTTAGCTGAATCTTATCCATAAAGTCGGGGCATTTAACCAATTGCTTTAGAGGGACAGCTAAAGCTTTATTGTATAGTATACTCACCTTTATCAGACTAGCTGAATATTATCCATAAAGCCGGGGCGTTTAATCAATTGCTCTAAAGGGACAACTCAAGTTTTATTGTATATAATTAATATTATAATGTGGGTATACGGGTCCAATTTCTTAAGTTTGTCAAGAAGAACCTGTTATAGTCTAGGTGTTTTTGAAGGTCAGAAAATCTCATCGTTAGAGTTCAATTCCCAATCAACTGACCTAAACTAGATTCACCTACTTGACCATTTCATCTGAGAAGATCATGATCATCATTGAACGTCTTAAACAAAAGTATAAACTAATTAGTTTTGCAATATCATGTGCTAGTTGCCCCATTCTGTTCGCTCCTAACACATACCTGAATACCAAACCTTTGATGGACTCTTCATGAGAAGAGAAAACTAGTTTGGTCCCTGTAAGAGAAGAACATGTAGTCTGGTGTATCTTTTAAATTAGGACCAAGGGGTCTTTATTTTGCAGGGTTCAATCTTGTCATTTGTCAAAGATTTACAACCTCAATTATTAAAAAGCTTTTAACTCAGGTGATATTCAAGGAATTTCAAGTTATAAATTTGGTTCAACATTCAACATAAATTCATTTAAATATCCAAAAAGAGTTCAAAAATAAGCTCTAAATACGAGAAAATTCAAAAAACAACTTCAAATAGGATGCCATGAAATGGAATAAGGCCTCATTTGGGTACCCCACTAGTTGGATTAGGGCTTTCATTTGTGTTGGATCTCCACTCCTCACTGGCTGGGGTTCTTTTTGATGTACCCTCAGACACATCAATTTCTACCTCCTCCGGGTCATTTTCCAGGGAAAATCCCACTTCTTTGTGATTTATCAGTATTTCTTTTCCTGGTTGCTGGAAATTGGGCCTAAATTTAGATCCAAAACTACTTTCCTCGGTGGTGATAGTTTTGGTTGGATCTCGAACGCATATCGCAGTTGTGATTGGCATAATATTCATCAAGCCTCCTAAGCTACCTAGAATCCCTCTTTCTTTTAGGAAATCTGATATAGGTGTTGAAGCTACGTCTGTTCAACTTATTCTTAAACCTACAGGCCAATCTCGGATTACATTCACGGAAGCCCTCATGTTCAGATGTTCTTCGCATGTATTCTCTATTGAATTGACAACTTCTGAGTCTTCTACCTTGGACTCCTGGATTACTTGTTCTAAAGGATCCTTAAAGTTTCTAAGAACCTTAGCTGAATAAGCTGGGGTTCCATTTTGGTTTACCCAAAGATCTCCTTGTAGGTCAATTTCTCATTTGGGGTCCAGTGTGGCTGGATATATCCCGGTCTAATCAATCTTGCTGAGAGCATTTCTGAACGTAATTTTTCAAGTGAAAATGGAAGGGAGAGAATGAAAACCCTACACTTTGTTTTTCTTCTCATTTAGTCCCCATGACGAGAGACTATCGAGTAATGGCTTCATAGATAAAACTTGAGTGTCCAGTCTTGATGATTGAAAAGGGGTAGAATCTCTAATTATGAGAGGTTGATCCTTCTTGGCTTTCTTGGTCAACATTCGGTCATATTCTATGACCATCTTCTTTGAGGAAACTTATCTCTCACAATGGAAAGCTCGTTTTCCATGGTTGGCCTAGGGGAACCTTCTATAACCACATTTGGTTTTTGGGGCGGACCTAAAATATCTGGCCCTTCAGCTTCAGCACCAGCATTCATAGGATCCACTATAGCTTCTCTCTATGGATCACAACATTTATCATATCCATCAACTTGGTCATATGTTATCTGAATTCATCATGAAATATTCTTGTTTGATCAATCATCTCTCGTTGGGTTTTCATGAGTTGCTCTTGAATTTTCTCGATCTTACTAACACACACTAGTATCTCATTCATCGTTGTGGATCTTCAAACACACTTCAGGTAATCTTCAATTTGCGTTCAAAGCTTGTTTGTTCCCTTTATGAGACATCTCATGTTAGAAATGAAAAAATGAGAAAGAAAATAAAAATAATGCATAATTTGCAATAATGCATGATGCATGAAATGTTCAAGGCATTGATCTAAAAATGTGCTTGTTATTATAAATAACCCTTATTGGGGACAAAAATGTTTTATCTTTTAAGAGACAAAAATATCCTGACAGCTTCTGACATATTGACTAGTCTTCTGCCTTCGTCTGTCACCGATTGAATAACTTGTCGAACTGCTCCGGCTTCTTTGGATGAACCATGTAAATGTTGAGTTGCTTTTTGTACTGACTCAAGAAGTCTCGAATGACTGCATCTCTGGCATTTATCTTTTGATGAGCATGTTCTCTAACAGTAACGCCATTGGAGCCCTCTATCGATAGGAGTTATCCGAAGTTTATTTGCATGTTTCTTGAATTCGTCAGCAATGACCTCTAATTTCAACTATCGCTTTCTCATTGTTGTCTTTGAAGGGACACCCAAGATCAGTAACCTTCATTTTACCCCTGTAACTTCTGCCAGTCAGTTCTTCAAAGATAGACTTTTATTGTGCTTGATGTAGACCCGATTCATTTCGAGTCCTTTATAATGTAATAGAGTGATATATTCTTCAATTGTGGGCACCACGTCTTCTGGATTGAATGTGACACATAATCTCCTTGTAGACTGTCCTCTGCATTTTTATCTCTTGTATTACAATCCCTTTGTCCATTAAAGCAAACTATTTATGTTTAACAAACATGTTTTTGTAGATCAACGCCTCTTGCGAATAATGTAAATGATGAAAATGAAAAAAAAAACAAAAATGAAGGGAAAAAGTTGGCGAGACAAGGATAATAAAAAAATGATGAAAATGAAAAGTCCTACCCCATATGATATCTACCCAACATGTTTATTATTCCTACCCGGACATGATCTCTATCCCGCATGCTAATTTCAAACAAATCCTAATTGCATATTTTTCTAGTTCGCATGCTTTGAATAGAAAGTAAAGCAAGAAATAATTCAGGCATCATAGGGTTTGAAATGAGGTTTTGGGGTGGGCTCTAACTCCCTGTACTCTCCCGGTTTAGATTCTAAAAACGGTACCCGAGTTCTCTTTGCTGGTGCCCCCTTGGGCTTGCCAGACCCTTAGTCCTAAGCCCATTACAAGCTTATGCTGACTAAGTTAAACTCGAGAGGATATATTCCCTTATGCCCATACGAAGAATAAATTCACACGAAGACTTAAGGTATATGAATCCCGAAGGTTACTTTCTAGGCCCATACGGAGAATAAATTCCCACGAAGGCGTCACTTTCACCCCCACTTAAAAGGATTCGGAGCTCAGGTATAAAGCTAGAGATGACAATTTTGAAAAATCTAAAATCATTAAAAAACGTCAGTACAACTATTTATTTGAAAAATAATCAAAGATAAATAATTGGAATCGAGTAAATAAATTAAAATTTAAACTTTTAATTTTCGCTAAAAAAAAGACAACCGAAAATTAATTTTGGCCTGACTCATTTACTTATCCCCAGTGGAGTCGCCAAGCTGTCGAAACCGCTCTTTCGGTTGGGCCTGGAATTGGGCTTCGACTTAGGAAAATAGATTAGGAGTCGCAATCGATCTTTTATTTTTTTAAAAATGGGTAGATCGAATACCTTATTTCTTACATGATCTGTGTCTTACCAATGATATGTCGGATTCGAAAGTCGGTTACAGTCAAGGAAGGGTTAGCACCCTTGAACTGCCCTTTCGGTACTACGTAATTTCCAGTTGTCTTTAATTAAGAAAGTTGAAATTTTAAATTGAAAGGTAAAATAACGATCTGAATTGCTTACCTTAGATTGATTGAAAATGTACCCTTTAAAAGTCGAAAGATGTGCTAGAGAAAAAGGAAAATGAATGATAAAGAAAGTAAAAAAGACAAATGAAATAAAGAAAATAAGAAATAAAGCAAATCAAAATAAGGCAAAAAATGAATGAGATAAATAAAATGAGAAAAATAATAATAGTAATATATACAATTAACACAAAAAAACAATAAATAAGTAAATGAAACATAAAGGGGTAAGAAAAAGAATAAAAAATTATATATATAGTAAATAAATAAAAAATATATCTATACCTATATATATAACAAATAACGATATAATATATATAATATAATAAAAAAAATAGAGGAATATAGTAGATAAAAAGAAAATATACTTAAAATATATATATATATATATATATATATATATAAACAATAATATTAATATTAACAAAATAAATAAAGGTAGGAAAATAAATATATACATGTATAAAATGATAAAATAAAAAAAACATATATATATATAGTAAAATATTTAAATAAAAGAAAAGGAAATATCAGGGGACCAAATCAAAATAAAATGAATTTGGGGGCTCAATTTAAGAGGATCAGGGGGTAAAATGAAAGTTGCAAAATGAAGGGGGACTGAAAACGAGATTTACCCTTTTCCCTCAAAAACACGCGGATCCCCTAGGGGATCCGCTCGGGTCATCGGGTCGGGTGTTGGGCTTACTATACAAGCCAATATTTTTTTTAAACTTCATTATTCTCTTCTTCACGAGCCAAAGACCCCCCTCTCACTCTGTTCTCTCGTTTGTTCATCCGAGAGATTAACACTGCCGTGGGGTTCGATGAACCCATAAAACAGCCGCCTTTTGCCGCCTTTCCGACCACCGTTCATCGGTGGCGAATCATAAAAAAATTTGATTTTTTCAAAGCTCTTCCTCCTCTAGTTTCTAAAAATCAAAACAATTTTTTAAGATCAAGCCTCTAGGAGAGTAGATCTATGAACGAAGGTTCAAAAAAAATCCCCTCCTCTATCATTGGCTTTTCGTTTGAGCGCAAAAATAAGAAAAACGAGACAAGCAAACTACCATGCAAGCCAAGAAATAGGAAGGGTAAGCCTTTTTACCTTTGTTCTCTTTCGAAACTTTGCAAAAAAAACGTTTGGATTACTCTAAAGTTTGTTTGGAATTTGTTGTTTTTATTTCGTATCCAATTCGTAGTTACAAATGGGTTCGATTACATGTATTTATAGTCTAAGAAAGAAACTATTATTAGAGATTGAATCCGAGTAAAACTCGGTTTGGTTGTGGTTGTTTGAAGTCCCACTAACGCACGTTGCTTTGCTTGTGTTTCATGTGCTTACGCATGTTGGTGGTTGTTTGACATTGAGGAGTTCACGGCGCCGAGAAAACCAGGGTTGGTGGCTTGGGATAAGCGTTGTTGACCGAGGGACTCGGTTGTGGGACTCTTGGAAGTATGGGGTTGCGACGCTCAGCTTGGAAATAGTGTGAGAAGAAACTAGGGTTTTCAAACCCTAGTTCACCGGTTTAATTTGGACACGGCTTGAGCGGTTCACGAGATCACCTCTGGGACTGCTGGGCCACTGGTTTCTACTGGGATTTGGGGCTCTTGGGTCACGTGGGTAGCGGATCTGTAAAAGAAATTCAGAACGTAAATAAACCACATATATATATATATATAATTTAAAACATTATATAATATTATATATGTGTATGTATTATAATTTGTTATTTAAGCGGACGAATTTAAGTGTCTTCAATATCATCATCTAAATTATATAAAAAAATATTTTAAATAAATAATATCATTCAAAGTTATTTCTAATAATATTATCTCTAAGATTTAAAGATGTTTATCTTCTTAAAAATGTAATGTACCTTACCATTTGAACAAATATTGTCTTATACTACATATATATTAAAAAAAATAGTCTTGCCTGTCTAGCTCAGTTGGTAGAGCACAAGGCTTTTAACCTTGTGGTCGTGAGATCGAGTCCCACTGAGGACAATTCATAACGGAGGTCTTTTACGGAAGTTGCTCTCAACTTGGCGTTGGGGGCAACCTACTATCCTACTTCCTCTTACCCCATTATATATGGAAATAGGGTCAGCTAATTTTTTTATATTAAAAAAAACCGATTATACATAATCAATTTCTATCTTCTTCTATTTAAATTCAACGGTTAATTTTTTTAAATTTAAAAACTCATCCAATGATTTTAAACTAACGTCCTTATATTAGCCTTGTTTTAGGGTTTCTTTTCCTTGGATTCACCCATCTATCATTTGATGGCTATCCCTTTCAAAAGAGATAAGGTTTCACATCTCATTTTGATTTTCTTTCAAAAATGTCGGTTTGAATAATTTTAATGCACACACCTTCCTTGTAGAATCCAATATCTTAGCACGCGGCATAAAGTTGGGGATATACTTCTTTTCTGTTGTTATAAATCATTCGAAGTCAAAGTGAGAAACAAAATTTCTCTGGAAATAATACTATATTAAAATAAAATAAATTTAAACTTTGCAAGTATAATTTTATAAATGTAGATATAATCAAAAATAATATATATTCAAAATAAATAAATAAATAATAAAATCAAATTTAGAGTAGGATATGAATAATGTAATATAAGATCCGAGACTTAAATTTAAATATTTAAGGACTCAATTTTTATTTTATATAAAAATAATTATAATTTTTTAAATAAAATATATTAAAGATTATTAAAATTATGTTAAAATAATATTTTCAATCAATAAATTTTTAAATGTTAATAAATTAAAAATGTTTGTACGAAAAAAATCAGTTGTTAGTATATAAAATTAAGTATAGAATAAATGAGAGAGAATATTGTAATATTTTTTAATATTAGACGTAAAAGGAAAGTCATATTGAACTTGAATTGAACGTTAATACATGTATTTAGAAGTTTCAACCATCGAACGTCCTAAAACCATGTTTTAAAATTATTATAAAAAATAATTCATATTAATATTATCAGTAGAAAGATAAAAGGATCATAAATATACACAAAAATCTTATCGAGATAAATTTTATATATAGTAATTTATATGTTGAAAGTACAATTATAAAATTTTAAAAAATAAAACTAGATCATTATGGAAATATAAAAACTGATTAAATTATATTAAAAAAATTTAAAATTTCAAGAAGAGTGTGGCGTTTACCTATTTCTTCAATCTACCCCTAAGAAGAGTTAATTAAAGCATAAAATATTTATTTATTTTAAAAAGGATAATACATAAAGTGAGTGAAAGGATAATGTGTGTTTAATGAGTGGAATAATTCGTGAGTTGTTGAATTCGATTCAGTTAAAGTTTGATCAATATTCGATTCGAGTTGATTTGTTTGAATTTGAACTCAACTTAAGATATTAATGAGTTGAGTTAAACAAAGTCTAATTCAACTTGATATGTTTGCGAGCAGTTCGTTAATTTTTAAAAATATTTTTTTAGTGGTTAACTTAAAATTTTATTTCATTAAAAAAAATCTAAATACTAATTACTAATTTACTAATAAATAAATAAAAATATGACAAATATCTAATTAACAATTACTACTGATTTATTAATCTATTAATTTACTAATTTATTAGTTTAGTGTATTTGTAGATTGTTATTTTAGAGTTTTAGATTTTGAAATTGTTTCATACACTCTTTTGCTAAATTTTTTTTGTTAAATTTCTCGATTTATGTTTATATTAAGCTCTATGTAGTATTAGTAGATTTTATTTATAACAAAAAATAAGATAAAAAATTTGGTAAACTTAACGAGTAACGAGTCGAGCAACAAATTTTTTTGACGAGCACGGATCAAATAAAATTTTAACGATATTAACGAGCAACGAACTAAATTAAGTAACAAAATATTTAATAAGCACGAATCGAATATTACTCAACTTACAATCAAGCCGCTCGATAAATACCCTGAAAAGGACGATATCGTGGGAAATAGACATTGCAGGAGGAATTAAATAGCCATTTAACTCCAGTAAAAGTCCAAGCGGGTCAAATAAGTCATTTGATGCTCCGATTTAAAATGAATTTTATCATTTCATATAATACTATACATATAATATTGGGTTAAGAAATTAAAAAATGAATTAAGATTTTTTTTATATAAAATAGAAGCAGTTAGTTTTTTTTTTGGATAAGTTAAAATTTATTATCCAAATGAGTAAAGTTTGCTACAACAAACATCCCAAAAGGGAGTATAAACAACTACATACAAAAAAAAATGGTTAGTCTATATCTCAATAATAGTAAAGATTAAAGTTAACATTATCATTTTTATTTATGTTTTACTAAAAAGTAGAAAATATCTAAAATTATAATAAAAATTTACAATTAAATATAAACTAAGTAACTCAATATCATACAAGGAAAATGTTAAAAAAATTATTCAAAAATTCAAACATACTATAGACACGAATATATCTGATTGCATCGACAAACGAATCACAATAGAAGATCAAACCATTGAAAGACCACCGACAATTGTAAATCAAGATAGAGTGTCGTGAGAAAACTATCTCCAAACGTAAACTGTGTATCCAAATATAATCTAATGGTCCACAAAAGTGAATATCGACCTTAAAATTAATAAGTGTTATATAGATCAATCGAGACAATGTCAAATCTAATATTGAGAAAATTAATTAGAGATAATGGCCAAAACGATCGATAAAAAGATTGAAACCGTCTCAAAAGATGAAAAACATATTATAAATGTAGAAAAAAACGTGTCTTAAAAATAAAATTATTAAAAATAAAAAAAATAAAATTAAAAATAAAAATACAATATAAAATATAAAATTAGATGAAAAATAATGAATACTGATAATTCACCATCAATACTAATTCTATATAGAAAAGGAGGCTAACAGCGCAAGGGAAAAAGAAAAGAGTAGGACTTAATAAATTTTCTCAAAAATTAATTACTTAAATTTAGTATCATTTAATTGTTGTGCTATCAATTTTTATTTATTATTTTTTAAATACTATTTAGATATTAGTGTTCGAGTCTTGCAGGCCTAGTTGCAAGCTTGTCGTCGTTGAATTCCTACGCAAAAATTACGATTGAACGAATAAAGGCGTTGACTTCTGCCCCTGCCTTTACTCGCTTAAGTGGCATGAATTTTAATGATTTATGATAAAAAAAATTATGTTATTCTTTGAAATTTTAAGTTTGAATATTAAAATTATCGGAAGCACACTCGTTTAATATTTAAAGAATAAAAATTATATTTAATTTTCATTAGGATGTAAAATCGTAACTAAACTAAAATCATCTTTGCCTTATCACTCGTAAATCTTAAGACTCACTTAATTCCTACTATATTAATCTCGTAACTTATTTCATATAATATATTAATAAATATCAATTAAATAAATATAAATTATTTTTTATAAAATTATAAAATATATATCCTCCGAATAACATATGCAATCGATCATTATTTTTTAAGAAAATAATAAAAAAAACAACCTTTTAATCAATAAATTAAAATATAACTCAAATATAATTTTTTTAAAATTAATAAAAAAAAATCTTATATAAGATATCATGAAACGGACAGAGATAAAATAAATAAAGTCGTACGTTTATTTCACCACCCATGAGGAATTTAATTATTATCCTCATTTTCGTCTCAATGCCATCTCTACTCAATTAAATACGAGTTGAAATAGATCCTCACGAAATCTGCTCACTGACCTTCCTATCAATAGACTAATCAACGGCGGGACAAGAAGAATAGTGAGATATTTCTCGATTCACCGACGATATTTCTCAATGTTTAAAGTTGACCCGGTGGACAAATTAATGGGCTTTCTGAATGGGACTGAACAAGAAGTGGTTGTGTAGTGATAACATCTCAAAATCTCATCCATATTGTAATCTTGGAACAAAACGAAGTTGGTAATCGACGAATTAAACTCGTACAGAATCAGTGTATGTGCAACAAAATATCTTTACAACATAAATCCATGGAGTGTAATGAATTCACTTATTTACATTGTTTTGGAGCTATGATCTTATCTGGGAATGGGATTCCCATGTTTTCTACCAAACGACCCGTAGGAGGCAACTGTCGAACATTGCCGATCGGAGCCGAAAGCATGTTCTGTTCGACGCGCAGATCCATCATATGGGTATCGACGGTGGTAATGTCGTGGATGCTCGATCTTTTCCTCTCTTTTTTCCCCGAATTCTGCCGCTGAAAATACTTCTGAGCGTGGCTAGCCACCTGAGTCGATGTCCGAGTCACCACCACATTTCTCGATATGCTCCGCCAATCTCCCTTTCCATATTTACTCAACCCAAGTAAAAATAACCTGTTAATGAATCATGGTGTTTTGTACTGTTTAGAACATCAGAACTTTCAAATTTCACAATCAATCATTCAAATTCTAACATTGTCAGTAATTTCAAATCAACTAATAAAGTACAAATTGACCTACCTGTGTTCCTCTTCTGTCCACGGAGTTCCCTTCTTCCTTTCACTGTCTCCTTGCTGCTTCGATCTCGAACCGAAATAGATTTGATTATTCGAATCCAACTCCGAATCCGACATCCCCGAATCGTCGGCGTAAGTCGGAACCTGAACTCGGCCGGCATCAATCTCATGAACATCGTGAACAAGCATATCGAAATGTTGTTTAATTTCTTCGACTGATCTTCCAGGAACCCTCGCGGCGATCGTCTGCCATCGATCAGGAGTTCCCTCCGGAAACGCAACCAAACACTGCTCAAATATCTTGTCCTCGTGAAACGTCCAGTTGGTCGTCCCCGACGACTCAATAAACAGCGGATTACTACAGTTGTGATGTTGGTACATGCCGATGTTCTTGGTATTAAATAAATTTTTCTTTTGAGGTTTTCTAGTTTGTGTCGGAGAAGGTGAATTCTTCAAATTGTTTGGATAAACATGAAGAAAAAAAAAGATAAATTTGTTGGTTACTGATATGTTTGAGTTTAAAATTAAGATTTTGAGTTCTTTTTGTCAGTATTTGCATCAGCTTAGACTTCTTATTCAACACGGTTTCTATGTAATTGGATTTCGATTTTAAATTTTCGAAGTTTATAAATACTATTTTTATATACATTTTAAATTTAATTTAAATATGATTTAAAGTTAGAGGGAATAAATTAACAAAAAGATTTTAGAGAAAAGAATGAAAATACTCTTAATAAATTTAAAATTTACGACTTAAATAAATATAAAAAACAAAGATGAGTAACTTAATCAATTGATCAAATAATTTATTCTAAAATTTATAAATATCTTTTAATAATATATAATATAATATAGAAGTCAAAAATATGTTTTTGATATAAATAAAAGGGTATATTTCAGACTAATATATCTTATATTAAGGATTATCAAATTAGTTCACTTGAAATATATTTATAGGGGGTTGTACGGTTGTATTTCTTAAATTTTGTATGCAAAACTTTATAATATTTATAAAAAAATGTCTTGGATATGATTTGAATTTATAATTTATACTTTCCATAATAATCAGTTTACAATGGACTTTTTTATATAGATGTTGGTTAAATAATATTTTCTGTATATATGTTATATATATACAAATCGATAACTAAATAGACAAATCATTAATTAGTACTATAACATAATATATCAGATAGATTGATAATAATATAAAACAATATAAAATATATCTAATAATATTTAAATTTATAATTTATAGTTTGTTTATTATATATAAATAATCTTAAAAAATTTAGATCTAAAATCACATCACATTATATACATTGTATGTATATAGACAGACAGATCGATAATTAAAATATATCAGACTTTATTAAAAAAAATATAGTAAGAAAATGGTGAAATTTAAACAAAATAGAATAAAAAGTGAAGTGACGCCACCAAAGCAGTGATTGGAAGTGGATTCTTACACGCGTTATCAGGTGTGAAAGAGAGGGCATTTTATCCAGAAAACAAATGGGCCCCACACAAGTATTAGTGAAGCTAACAGGTGGTGATGATGATGCAGCAAAAACACCTGGGCTGTCATCGATGTTGCAACCAACACATTGAACGTGGACAAAATCAGAGTAGCTCGGGAACAATGAACACCGACATGGATTCCACCTCCAACGCTTGTCTTTCCTCCAACCTACTTCCTCAACCATTTCTACATGTCTTATTTCTACTCAAATTTAATAACCGACATAATTTCTCAATGAAAGATGAAAACTTTATATTTAAAATGAATTTTATTACTATAAAATATTATTACATTTTTTTTGGAATAAAATTTATTTCATTGTGGATCATTTTGTTAATTTAAAAGTTACTTTCAAGAATCAAGGTTGATAAAATCTTCGTCGAAAGTAATATGATAATATGAGACCTCAGAAAAAAAAGATTATGATAATATGAGAAGATGTGAGAGTTGAAAGAAATAGAAAGACATCTTTTAAAAAAAGTCGATAAATCATTATATGGGGAAGGGAATGTTTTTTTTTATTTGTAATTAGTTTTACATTAATATATATGTGCTGGATAAATCAAATTGGATAGTAACCTTCACCAAATTAACAATGTCCTCCTCACTCCTTGCCATAAGTATGTCGATGAAGACGTACTTTTATTCACGTAACCTGGCTTTTATGAAGACATTTGTACTAGCTAAGCTAGAGGATTGGATTGCTCACTACCTTTTGTTTCTTTCTTTTCATTAGAAAAAAATCGATTTAAAACTAAAATGATCTTAGCTTAAAAAGTAAGTACGTGTTGGAGCATGATTACATGCTTATGTGCATGTGTGTGCAGTATGGTTTGGGGTGTGTGTGTGCAAGCAATTAGTGTGCAGTTGGTTAATTAGTTAGAGTGGTTAGAAGCAGTTATGAGGTTGTTAAGGCTGTGAACTTGTGTATAAATGTACTGAGTAGTCTTGGCTAATAACACATATCTTTGTATCTTCTTGATAATCTTCAAGTTCTTATGCATAAACTTCAACATGGTATCAGATGCTGGTGATCTTGTGGTGTAGGAAGAGCTGCATCAGGTTCTTGCTAAGTGCATGGTGGCTTTATGGCGCTTCCAGCCTCTCCTCTTTCCGACGGTGTTGTGAGCAGTTCTGAGCATTCGGTAACTGCCTCCAAAAGCTTTACCAATAAACGGTTGAGTGTTATGCTCGATGAGCGGAATTTCCTGCTTTGGAAGCAACAAGTTCTACTAACAGTCAGAAGTCATCGGCTGGAGAAGCTACTTTATGGGACGGCTATTTCGCCACCTACGACGGTTGTGCTGGAGGGTGGCACGGTTGCTGAAAATACAGATAATGAGGTCTTTGTAGCCCAAGACAGTGCCTTGGCCTCGTGGCTACTATCTACGATCAGCCTGTTCTTGTTGCCACATTTAGTGGGGGTTGAAACTGCTGCACAAGTCTGGAACACTGTGAATAAAATCTTCGCCTGTAAGTCTGCGACGGCGGTAATGAATCTGCATTACCAGCTTGAAGCAGTTCATCAAGGAGAACTAGGAATGCGGGGCTACATATCTCAAGTTAAAGAGATATGTGATGCCTTAGCATCGTGTGGAACTCCAGTCTCGGAGCTGGAGCATATTGCAACCATATTGAATGGACTATCAGTTGAATACAGGCCAGTGGTTACTGTTCTTTCAGCCAGTCGTGATGCCTTAACTCTGGAAGGGGTTGTGTCTGTTCTTGTTGATGCTGAGACTCAGCAAAAGAACTTTAGTAGATTTGACAACATTACAGCTGCAGCTAATGCTGCTCAAGTAAAAACATCCATGGATGAAAGAACCGCTCGATTTGCTAGGCAAGATCAGGCTGCGTCAGAAATACAGGTTACCTATAATGCTCAAGCCGGTCGTGGTCGAGGGCGTGTCAAGATGCAGTGCCAATTGTGTGGCAAGAATGGCCATCTTATGAATAGATGCTGGTACAGGTTCGATAAGTCGTTCTCGGGTGTCGATGAATCTGACCCAAGGAGTTCTGACTCAAGGAACTCGTTTAAAGAACGAGTACCCACAGCTAATATTTGTCATTACAATGCTAATAAGTGCTCGTGCGCAAGTAGACCGGATGGAGGTGCTGCTGGGCTCAATGATCAAGAACGGTTCAAGCCTAGTGCAAATGTAGCTGCTACAAGTGCAACCCTTGGTTCGTGGTTTGTTGATTCAGGGGCGACACACCATATTACGCCTGATGCCACAGAACTAGTAGATGGCTCAGATTATATAGGGGCTGGTAAGCTGACTGTAGGCAACGGTAGTGGTTTGTCTATTATTAAAATTGGTCAAGCGTCTATTTGTAATGCATCGCGTGCTTTAATATTAAGTGACTTATTGCATGTGCCTTCAATTACTAAGAAGTTAGTGTCGGTTTCCAAGCTTGCTAGGGATAATGGAGTATTCTTGGAGTTTCATGCTGGTTACTGTATGGTTCGGGATGAGAGAACTGGTGTTGTGTTGCTGCGAGGAAGAGAGGTTGATGGCTTGTACGAGTTCGGTGCTACGTTGTCTACTCGAGGTCGAGCTGCTGAAGCAAACATAGTGTCTAGCCCTAGTAATAACTATGTACTGTGGCATGATCATTTAGGTCATCCATCTTATAAGATCTTACTGCAAATTTGCAATCTGTGTAATGTTGCTTTGCCAAGCAATTTGAATAAAGATTTGCTTCCAGTATGTGTGTCATGTCATATGGGTAAAAGCCACAGGCTACCGTTTCATGCGTCTTAAACTCAATATAAACGACCGTTTTAGCTGGTTTTCTCTGATTTATAGGGTCTGGGACACGTTGAATCAAATGGCTTCAGGTACTATGTGTCATTTGTAGATGCCTTTTCGAGGCATTCTTGGGTGTATATGCTGAAGAACAAAGGGCAGGCAGTTCACGCCTTTCAACTGTTTCAGAAGCTAATTTGGACTCAATTTGGACATGAGATTAAGGCTGTACAGACTGATTGGGGAGGTGAGTACCGATCTCTGTCAGCTGTGCTTGCACAAGGTGGGATTCAGCACCGAGTGACATGCCCGCATACATCCCAACAGAATGGGGTTGTCGAGAGGAAACACAGGCATTTGTTCGAAATGGCGTTGACTCTGTTAGCTCGAGCTTCGTTACCTCTAAAATACTGGTCATTTGCAGTAGTTACGGCAGCTCACTTAATCAACAGGCTGCCAACTAAGGTTCTTCAAGGTTGTACTCCGTTTGAAAAATTGTTTGGACAGCCTCCTACGTATGATCATTTACGGGTATTTGGTTGTAGGTGTTTTCCTCATCTGCGGTTGTTTCAACCCTATAAGCTCGCATACAGGTCACAACCATGCGTGTTTTTGGGTTATAGCATGAATCATCGAGGGTACCAATGCTTAGCGACCAATGGACGTATGTATGTGTCTCGGCATGTCGTTTTCGATGAACGTGAGTTTCCGTTTGCTAAGTCTGGAGCTGTAACGAATGTAATTCCTGCAGAGAGTATGTGTAATGGCAATTCGTTGGTTGTGGTTCCTGGTGCACAAAGTGTTTGTGGTAATTCCCCACAAGCTGTTGTGCAAGAAGCTAGATCTGCTCCGATATGCACTGGAGAAGTACCAGAGGTTGCTGAGGTTGGAGCTTCTAGCAGCAGGGTGAATCAACATACTGAAAGTGTTAGTGTTGGTGAAAGTCAAACTGGTAACTTAGTCGGAGAGAATCAACATACTGGAAGTATTAGTGTTGGTGAGAGTCGTAATGACAGCTTAGTGGGAGTGATCCAAGATCAGGTGTTGGATAATGAGACAGGTTGTGTTGCGAATACTTCAGGTCATGTTGAGGCTGCCTCGCTATGTCCCTCGGTGCAAAATGC